AAGTTGAGGGTGGTTTTCCCCACAACCAGTTTTCCTAATTCTGCATGGATGCACAGCTTGCAGCTTTGAAATTGTCTTTTGCAGATGACTTCAGTTTGCTGAATTTCAATTTTCTCCTTCCTACTAGTGACCGTTCATACTTTATTTTTCTGACAACAAAATTGTCAAGTTTCTGTGTCATGGGCATATATATTTTTGTTAGACTGCACAGTCCTGTGCCTAATTTCAAAACTTGGATATGCAAAAGATATATGATATACAGTGCACTTAATTTATCTTCCTTAAAATATAGCAACTCTGATCTCTTAACTATTATTGTTGTGGAGAAAACAAAAATTGTACAAGACAGAAAAGTTGGAGCTGTTTACAGCCTCATGTTTTACATGCACAGCCTTGTGTAGAAAATGCTGTGGCAGTGCAGGAGTTGCAGCTGAGATTACTGTGGAAATCAGTGTTGTGATAAAGCGTTTGCACTTCTGTTAAGAGTGTGCACTTGGTTTTAATGGACACCATCCCGTTAGCTCCTTGCTAAAATGGTTTCAAATGGCAAAAGGTTAGTTTTCAGAGAGGTTAAAAAAGGAAGCACACATGGGGTTTTCTTAGGAAACTGCTAGTTATGATTTGTCATAATTTACTTGACAACAAAGTTATCTAGTGTTGACAGAACAAACAAGATGGATAACACTGTCATGAATACTAATGCTAAGCCAAAAAAAGTGTATGGAAATGAGCTTGTGCTGGAATGTGTAATAAATACTGTACTGTTCCATGAAACAAACCATTTACCTCTACAAGTATTTAGATCACAAGCTTTGGGGGGTTTTGCTTGTGTGTTTGGGTTTTTTTACGGGGAAGAAAACCTCCCATGAAGACTCTGCTGCACTGAGTCAAAGCATGTTATCCAAAACATTGTTCAGAGTTGAAGGTGAGTCAAAACAGAGTCATTTCCTGGTGGTCACAGTGCTTGTTTTCATGCAAGTACTTTTGAATGATGAAATGCTTGGTTTTCTAGATATTTCCTGGTGGTCACAGTGCTTGTTTTCGTGAAAGTACTTTTGGATGATGAAATGCTTGGTTTTCTAGATCTTTTGATTGTTTTCAGCAAAGCAAACTATGTTAATGGTCTTTAAAATGAATTTTACAGGTTTTTATTACACCTTGCTGATAAAACTGGAGGTGTTATTGTGACTAATGATAACTTCAGAGAATTTGTGACAGAATCATTTGCCTGGAGAGAAATTATTCAGAAAAGGTAATGACTAAATTTCCATGACAACGTAAAAGGATGTCTGTCCTTGCAGTTGTAGGCACTTCATGTGGGATTTTTTTCATTTCTAATCAGTCATGCAGTGTTCTGGTAGATCCCAGTAAAGTACTGTCTGTGTTTTCATACATTGATTCATGGCCTCGTGATCATGTGTTGAGTAGTGTAATGTCCCTGGTAATGATACATTCTCTAAGGTGTGTCTGTTAATTGCTGACATAATTAGGAGCCAGGTGTGACAGCACAGCTCTGTCACTTCTGAAGCTCAGTGCTAGGTCCTGTTAGAGCACACACGTTGCAGTCCTCCCTCACAGCTTTTCTTGTTTAAAAGTGCATTTTTCCAAGGGGACACTGGTGCCAAGAAAACCTGGAAAAGAACTACTCACAGTCTTGTATCCCTGAGCAGCAGGGATTTGTTTAGCCAGCACCAGGCACAAGGGGTATCACTCCACCAAACTTGGCCACCCAAGATAAGACTTCTCTGATTTATAGACGTTAAAAACTCATTCATTATTTCCAGGAATAGGTGGTAATTATTACAATTAGTGCTTGGAAATAATTTTCATAATCTCCTTCGTCTCCTCCCACTTGGCATGAGTCCCATGGTCTCTGGTGGTCACCAGGAGGAAGGCCAATAGTCTGTATCAGATTGACCTTTTCCCCTGTGGGTTTGGCACATGCTCTTTGGTCTTGCTCTTCAGCTGCCAGGTCCTGAGTCCAGTTGCATCTAATTTTACTTCCTCATAAATACACTGTGTTTACCTAAGCTAAAAGAATGCCCTAAGTTCTACACTTTCCATGCTTAATAAACTAAAACAATGCCTTACTGCTCAGCCTTTTACCTTCTGTTTATTCAGGTGCTCTCTACTTGACTATCCTCTATCCTACTCAGGCTTAACTATTTGATTCCTGTTCTCAACACAATAGCTGATATGGATGCATAAGTGTCACTTCGTGTTTACCTAAGCTAAAAGAATGCCCTAAGTTCTACACTTTCCATGCTTAATAAACTAAAACAATGCCTTACTGCTCAGCCTTTTACCTTCTGTTTATTCAGGTGCTCTCTACTTGACTATCCTCTATCCTACTCAGGCTTAACTATTTGATTCCTGTTCTCAACACAATAGCTGATATGGATGCATAAGTGTCACTTCTTTCAGATTCCTGTTCTCAACACAATAGCTGATGTGGATGCATAAGTGTCACTTTTAACGTTTCAGAGTCAATCTCTCTTTACTGAAGCACAACAGATCAGAAAATGAACATTTCCAGCATATCCATGTAGCTATTGTTGAGTGTCCTCTGGGTTTAGAGGAGTTCAGTTAGCTATCAACTATCCCTGCTTCAGCTTGTGGAGTTCTCTGCATCTGGTTTCTTCTTTTTTCTTGTTTGTTTGGTTTGGTTTTTCCCCTTTCAGTTAAATCAGGTCATTTTACTCTTAAGGAATGATCTTCTGTTCCTGAAATTTCCCACTAGTCTGTCAGTCACCCTGACATCTTCTGTTGGTACATCTGCTACAGGGACTGGGACTTGGATAGGGCCAATGAAATAAGTAATTAAAAATTGCCCTAGGCTCTCACAATACGAGGACATGGAGTTGATGTTGGTTAGTCATGTAGGTGTTTACACTATTAAGTGAATTCTACCCAAGTCTACAGAACTTCAGCACGAATACTTGGCACGTCATCTCGAGTCTGTGGTTTTTTAAGAGCTTGTGTTAACATCTGCTATTAGTTTTACTTCTGGGGAAATTCCACCACACCAAACTCTCTCCTTGCAGATGAATTTTACTTGATCTGGTTTTGAGGGTATTGTTCATGCAGATTTCCCTCTGTCCTAAAATGATTCCAGGAAAGAAAAGCTTTATGTCTTAACTGTAAATAAATAATGCTGTGTTGTGTGGATTTCTGATAACGTGCATGGTTGAAGATCCTTACAAGGAAGGGGAGTTTGAACAATCATAAAATCTCTAATCACCTAGAAAATTCCACTTGCTCTTGTGGCAAAAATTTGCAGTCACCCAAAAGTTGCTGTCAAAAAAAAAAAAAAAAAAAAAAAAGGCAGCTGGTGTTCTGCAGTGTCATGGGAAGAGTTCCCAGCTCCCCTGAGCTGTTTTGGTGCTGAATACTAGCTGTGTCTCAGATGGGTTTGCTAATTAATCCTCAGGACTCCTGATGTGGGGTCAAGTGTCTAAGGCAACAAAGGTGAAGGACAAGGAGGGTGTGATAGTTTTATTAAGTAACACTGAAAGCACTCTCTTGCAGGTTGCTCCAGTACACTTTTGCTGGTGACATATTTATGGTTCCTGATGATCCTTTGGGAAGAAATGGACCCAGATTAGATGACTTCCTTCAAAGTGAAGCCTGTTCTAGGTATAAGCACTGTTTTCCCTTTTGTTTGAGACAGTTATGGTTTCACTCTTGGAAAAAAAAAGTTTTCTGGCTCACGCGAATACCTCATTAGATCTGTGTAGTAAAAGCACAGTAAAATTAAGCAGAAATACTGTGGGATGTAGGAGTATAACAAAAATGTGTTTTTCTTGTTGCTTCAGTCTGCTCATAAACTGCTGGTGGTGACATTTGCATCTCATCAAGATCTTTTTCAGAGCTAAGATAAGTAAGACAGGAAGTCCCTCTGAGATTTGGTGGTGGTTTTCATGCAGAGATGGTTGACCCTGTGTTCACTAGGCACAGAGGAGTTGGGTAGGTGGTAGTTAGGCATCTTGTTAATTACAGTGGTGTTACCTAAAACACTTGGGTTGATCAGTCACTCAGAGTGGGACAATAGGTGCACAAATTCTTTTTTGTCACTGGAGACATATTTCAGCTCACAGCTGAGAGTACTGTACTGTTAATAACACAATTTTTGAGGCCTTGTTATTAAATGAATATGTATTTGAGTAATAATTATAAATACAAACATATATTAAAGATTAATAGACTTTTTAAACGTGCGTATATCCGAGGTATGAATTTGCTTTGCATTAAATGCCAAGACTTGAGAGTTAGTTTGTTCTTTAGCACTAGAAAATAATCTGCTGCTCTTTCCCCAGCTTAGGATTTATAAATGCTAATGATTCTGAGGAGTATTGAGAGAGCTTTTAGAAACAAGTGAGGTAATTAAATATTGGCATTGGAAAAGGCAAGCTGTACTCAAGGACTGATACAAAGCAGAAATCTCAGCTGTTGGAAACACTTGAGGAAAGTGGAACATAAACCAGTAGGTCACAAATTGATTTGAAAATAAGCATATAACGTTGACATTAAAAAAGCAAATGCAGTTCTAGAACTTCAGTAGGAAATGCTAAGAAAGTATTCTCAAGCTCTAATGCAAAACCCTCACGAGGTGTCATTTAGAACACTGTTTTACCTGCATATGCCTGAGAAAAATGAAATGAAAGCAGAGTGTGTTGTGGGAGGTGTGTGAGATGATTGTAGAAATGGAGAGACTCCTTTGAGAAGAATGTAGAAGAGCTTGTGGCTGCTTGGCTCGATCTAGGCTTTGGGGTTTGTTGCAGGTAAGACAGAGAAAAGCTGCCAGTGTAAAGAATTGTTTTTCTTCCTTCTCTGAGACTTTTCTACATGGGTTAAACGAGGCAGAAAGCATAAATGGCACCAGGAATCAGATGAGAAACTGGAAGGATCTTGACCACATTGAGCAATGGGAGGTGTCAGAACCAAAACGCATTTAAAATAGAGCTCTGTAATTTAGGTACTATTTCTCTTGATTGTAGGAATCTACACTGTAATACAAGTTCCTGTTCACATTTCTGTGTTATCTGTGGCATCTGAAGTAGACTGGGCCTTAAATTTTCTAGCACTGGCAGTTTGTAGAGCAGCAACAGCTTTTCAGAGTCTGAAATGAAATCTCAGTAATTAAGGAAGAGTATTCAAATCCTGATATTGCTAAAAAAACTTCATTGCCCCATTAAGGATATCATAAAAGGGAAACAAGGCTCTGATCTAGATGTAAGCACAGCTCAGAGTCAAGAGCAAAAGTAGATGAGGAATAGTCTTGTGGAGAATCTGGAAACCCCTTTGATCTGTCAGTATTTTCACATGTTCTGAGTCAGTGCACATGTGTCCAGTGTATCTTTTTATCTATACATTAATAAAATAGTTACACATGTTTTCCTTTTCTCTCTCCTGTACAGAGACAGCTACAAGCAGCATCTCCTTTAGCTCAATGTAATACAAATGTCTATTTTGTTCCATAGGGATTTTTGGTCAGCACAAATGGCTTTTCAGGACAGTGGACAATATTCTTCTGAGACACCTTTCTTCATGCCCACACCAAGCAGCAGCAGTATGTGCAGACAGCCCAGCAGAGCACATGGTGATGATTCATCCACGTGGTTTCCACTTCAAACAAACCTAGAGCCTTGTCTAGCAAGAGATCCACCGCAGAGATCTGCCCCAGAAACAGTACGGCTAAGAGAAGCCCTGATAAAAATCTTTCCTGATTATGATCAGAGACAGAAGATTGATCAAATACTTGCTGATCATCCATTCATGAGAGATCTCAATGCACTGTCTGCCATGGTGCTTGACTGAATGTTGTGTAAAGTTTTTATATCACGATTGATCTGACTAATACCAATGTGAAGAAAAATGTTATGTTACTTTGTGAATATTCAAAACCTAATTTTATTTGTATAAACAAAGATATTTTTGTGTATGTTCTGTTGCTAATAGATACCAGGTTTTGATAAATTAAAAACTGCTGCTACTACAGATTTGTAGTAATATTTTCTATTAAAAAAAAAACCAAAATCTTCTGCTTCACTTGAATTGCTTATTAAAGCAGTAGCAGTACTCACTTTCAAGAGTGTTAGCACTTTTTTTAAAAACCCTTTTCCCAGAAGGGAATTGTGTCAGAGGCCTAAAAGTGACTTAGAGCTTCAGCTGTGTTTTCCAGATGTATGCATAACATTCTGCAACATCAGCCATGCACTTGTCAGCTAGCTCTAGTGCTGTTTGTCTAGAGTGTAGAAACTCTTAGAAAACTCAGTAGTACCTCTCTCCATCACCAACTTTGAAGTATTTCTGCATGGTAATAAAACATACCCTTTTAATATTTTCAGATGCAGAGACTTGTGTGTGGTGTCTATGTGACCCTGCCCACAGGTGTGGGAAACAGGACATATCCCAAGGGTCTGTGGGCAGCAGTCTGGGAGAGAAACAGAGCATAAATGCTTTAAAAGATCTGTGATAGGTACATTGGCTTTGAAGCTGGAAATTCTCTTGGCCATCAGTACTGTCTCAGGATAGTTTTTGTATCTGATGCATCTTTTTGTGAGGATTGCATTGATCCCTGCGTGTCTTTGCCCGTTTTAAGTCAGAATGTTGTGATGCTAACAGGATGTGATGCTGTTTGTGTAGAAATGGGATGTTTGTGCAGAGGCAATACACTGCTGTTAGCAGTCAGCTCCATGCCTTTAAATCTGTTCTGGGATCTAGCCCAAAGTAACTTGAAAAAAAAAAGGCACAAACTTTATGAGAACTGACCAATGGGACCACTTTCAGGAGCAGAGCAAAGGGGAAATTACTGTTACACCTTTCTTTTAACCAGTTTCTGCTGCTCAGTGTTCACATTAGTAAAATGAGATTAAACAAATGTTAAACTTCTGATGCACCAAGCCTTAGCCTAATGCATCAGTGCTTTCTCGAAAATGAGATTAAACAAATGTTAAACTTTTGATGCACCAAGCCTCAGCCTAATGCATCTCAGTGCTTTCTCTCCAGTTCCCTGGGGTCTGACATCACTGCTTAAATGCAAAAGAGCTGAAATATGCTGAGGAAAGGAGAGTGTTGAAAATCTGTCCTCAGCCATGGCCGTGTCGGACTTCACATGTAGTGTGAAGCCAGAAACAGGCAAAGTTTTGCTCTTTCCTCAGCAGAAAAAACCTGCAAGAGGATTGCAGCAAGAACAAGAGAAAAGCTTTAGGAATAGTTATTACAGCATCTCAAAAATACAAGTGAGGATAAAGTTTGTGTCTGTTTGGATACAGAAACATTAAAATCGTAATTATTTTTTGTTCTGTATAAATGAGTTGGAAATTCATTAGATAGGTGGGCAGAGTCAGTCTGACCAGCACATGTTTGTCAAGAAGTAGTTCTTACCTACTAAGTGCTATGTAATCACCAAGTTTTGGCCCCACAAAAACTTCAGGTTCTTAAAGCCTTTGTCACTGATTTGAATTGGTATCATTTTAATAGGTTGTAGGGGAATAAATTATGACCAGTCAAAGGCTTTTCCTTAACAGGGTTAGGATCTCAGTGAGGACAGTGGTGGTGAATTGGGTGATTCTGCTTAGTTGGAGTGAGACTCAGGAACTTGGGGTACGTTTCCAAATTTCCAGCAGTTTCTTCTTGAGGCAATCAAGGGAATGGACCAAGAGCAACACAAACTATTCCATGTCTCCTTTGCATGTTAGTATCCTCAAAACTGAAACCAACTGTGCAGGACAGAAGTGAAGATAAATATGGCTTTGCTGTCATAAGGAAGGAGGAATAAAACCTGGAGTATGACACTGCAGGGGCAGTAAAGGAAAAGAATCTTGTTTATTACTATCTAGTATGGGAACACTTGGCTGAGTATATAAACCTGATAAAGCTGATTAGGGAGCTATACTAATACCAGTAAATCTGATGTGATATTCATTCCATGCTAAGTGTCCAATTTGAAAGGAATTGAAGAGGAATGTAGTGTCAAGTGGTCAGCAGAGTTTATTACAATACTGATTACTTACTTGATTACATTTGCATTATACAAGAAGCCTAGGTAGGAATATTAGCTCTCCAAAACCTGTAATCTTACCACTGTCTCCCAGACAGAGAACAGACTTGACAGATTATTTGATTTCGATAGCAGAAGCTTATTGCTGAATATTAAAGTGTCACAGATAAAATTCATGTAGTGAGACCAAAGGATGTTTTCTACTTTTCTTTAGGTTCTGCTGTGCTTTAAACTTTGAGTTTGAAACGCTATTAATATTCTCTTAACACTCTCTGAAAGGGAAGATAATAAACTTAATCAGTTTGGTCTGAATTTTTCCTTGACAGGAACGGGTGGAGCTGTTGCATTTCTCTGGGGAACACCCAGGGTGGCATCTCACCTGCACTGAAAAGAAACCCATCGGTATCTTTCAGTTTCGTTTCACTCATTCTTAGTTCCCTGTTAGCCTACTTAATGTCAGTATGGCTGTTTATAAAATCCAGAAATTTCAGTGCACAACAGGACTAGCACTACACAAAACACAGCAACCAAGAAAACTTTCTTGCATCTGACAGAATAAGTTTGTTGTTTGATTTTTCTTTTATGGCAAAGAAAATACACTTTTATATGCAAGAAAGTTAGGGTGTGATTCTCCTTTATCAACTGTACAAAGGGCTCAGAGTAGAAGGATTAGAGGAAAAGGTCAGGTCTAACTCTGAATTTAGCCAGAATCCTTTAGTTCCTGATCCCTAGAATAAACTAATTTTATGTGAGGTGATCTATATTGCTAACACAGCTTTCAATTTCTTGGTATTTCCACTGAAATGGGAAGATAAGGGAATATTTCTTTGATCATTCTCAGAACTTCCCTGTTGTTTGCTTACCCAAGTAGATACAGCTAGTTTCACCTGAACAGAACAGGCCTGAGTTGACCTCTAATGTTAAAAATGTGCCAAGACCCAGCAATAAGCAACTAAAAAAAAATCAGAATCCTGGATATGTGTATAGTGTCCTAGCTCCAAGTTAAAAAACTAAAATATCATAATTGCCTGAGTGCATTCAAGTAGTTGCATGTGATAACTAATGTGCTACTGTGGTTTAGTTCTGCTGTGACCCTCGTGTAGCAAATAGTGCATTTCAGACACCCAGGGCACCCTGGATTTGTCTGTTTGGGACCAACAGGATCCAGCAACGATCTCAGAGCTTTCTACACTTCTTCCTGCATTGCTCCCACCCCCAGAATGCTCACACTTCTGATCTGTTACTGAGTTCTGTGTAGGCAAAAATGTGTACAGTGAGTGATGATTTTGCAAGCAAG